ATGCAAACATGTTGTTGTGATTGGCCTTCATCCCACAGGTGGCAATTATCCAGTGATGACATCGCTGTACATTCTGTGCTCCAGCCTACTTTCTTGTGAAGCTAGAGTGAAGTATTTTGTTGAGATTGTAGAAATCTTGCAGGTGTCCAAAGTGGAGTTGTTGTTTGAGCTGGTTTGCTGCTCAGCTGTCTTTCTTAAGTCATTATGGCATCCTTTGATAAACGGTCCAAACTGCTCCAATTGCATGTGAGGCTGTCACGTGACCCATTGCTTCAACAATATTCCAAATACCAAATATTCCTTTTATAAATGGCATTTCCATGACTGGACAATACAATGTGTTGCATTACTTTTACTGGACCAGAACACTGCTTCTATAGGTCTTTAATGTTGGATTAGTTCATCTTCTCTCTCTGGCTTATGGTGTCATGTTTCTGCAGCAGTTTTAACATCAGCATAGTCTTCATCCTTGGATGGATCTGGGACTGGAGCATATCGGAGGAGGAGGAGCAGAGTCCAGGACTGGATCAGCCGGAACGGATTCCATGACTTGTGTACCTCAGTGAAAGAAGAGATAATTTGTTTGTTCTAATGGTGTCTTTTAGATAGTTTCCTTTTATCCTTATTTTATCTAGTCAAATGTTCTGTTTTAAGTCTTTACACTTTCCCTTAATTTTAATTTACATAGCAATCTGCCTTAAATGGTAGATTTCAGCTTGTTTTTTTTTTTTGTTCTTTTGTTTTTTGTTTTCCTCTGGACAAGGCTGCATGCTCTTCTGCATCTCTCCTTTCCTTTCTCTTCAAACATGTCTTTAGCTGCTCCAAATATATATTTTTGAACTAAAACTTACATTTAACACATTTGAACCCACTTATCAAATTGTCCCATAGATGTTTCAGTCATAAATCTTACAACTGGCAGAAGGATTTAGGAGCTGTTTCCCACTCAGTTTACCAGTTTTTACTCCAACACATAACCTTTCATCTCTAATGTATGTCTCTCTATGTTTTCCTTCACCCTCATTGTGAGGCATTTATTTGGCATACTTCCTTTGCCTTCTCTTTAACATAATAAAATAATAAAATACCACACAGTGAAACACTGGTCTATTCTGATGAAGCATGCAGGGTGAAACAGTAAACACAGTAAAATATCAAATTTCCATCACACAGAGCCAAGGAGAATCATTTAAGTAAAAACATTAAGAACACAAATAAATACCAGGGTTTCCTCTATGATTTGATTAAAAGTTATGAAGTTGCAATTACAGGACTCTGCAAAGGCTTTTTAGTTTGACAGCACCTCTAAATCTTTCCGAGACGAGACAGGGAGAGACGATTAAGGAGAAAGACAGCAAGAGAAAGGTAGATTTAAAGGCAGGGTAGGTAAGTTTGAGGAACTAGAAAGAAACTGCTGTATTTTTGAAAGTATCCAACAGAGAAACACCCCCCCCCTCCCTTCTGGGCTCCTTTCAAAGCCACGCCCCCAAAACACGTGAACGCGCCTTGCCGACTCTGCTGGAGGACGAGCACAGGTAAGAAAACATTTAACTTTATCATTATGAAATTAACAACTAACCCGGTTGTTAGTACTCACTATCAAGCTAGCATGTTAATATTGTATAGGTTTAAAAAGACTGACTTTGATTCAGTAACAGAGAGACAGCTGGCTCAAATAGTGGCATCAGCAGCTACCAGTGGTATTTCCGGTGAGAGCTTGAGTTTTTTCCTGATATGCCGCCGCACTTTTCGCCGTTTATGTGTATTTCCGGTGGCAGGCGCCACCTGCCGCTGTTTTATGTGGGATTTCCAGTGGTAATCTAAAAATGCCACAGGTTTTCCCTGAGGTGCCACGTACGGCACCTTTCGCCGTTTATGTGATATTTCCGGTGAAACCAACATGCCACAGATTCACCCAGGCACCTGCCGTTGTTTGTGCGGGATTTCTGGTTGCAATCTAACAAATACGATGCCAGGGCATCTGTCGCTGTTTGTGTACGTTAGGTCACCACTGATCTACCGTGAGATGCCAGGGCATCTGCCGCTGATTCAATCAATCAATAAATAAACCTGGACCGAGAGAAACATGTTAGCAACATTAGTTTATTATGCAATATACAGTGGGTATGGAAAGTATTCAGACCCCTTTAAATTTTTCACTCTTTGTTTCATTGCAGCCATTTTCCAAAAATCAAAAAAGTTCATTTTATTTCTCAGTAATGTACACTCAGCACCCCATCTTGACAGAAAAAAACAGAAATGTAGAAATTTTTGCAAATTTATTAAAAAAGAAAAACTGAAATATCACATGGTCATAAGTATTCAGACCCTTTGCTCAGTATTTAGTAGAAGCACCCTTTTGATCTAATACAGCCATGAGTCGTTTTGGGAAAGATGCAACAAGTTTTTCACATCTGGATTTGGGTATCCTCTGCCATTCCTCCTTGCAGATCCTCTCCAGTTCTGTCAGGTTGGATGGTAAACGTTGGTGGACAGCCATTTTCAGGTCTCTCCAGAGATGCTCAATTGGGTTTAAGTCAGGGCTCTGGCTGGGCCATTCAAGAACAGCCACGGAGTTGTTGTGAAGCCACTCCTTCGTTATTTTAGCGGTGCGCTTAGGGTCATTGTCTTGTTGGAAGGTAAACCTTCGGCCCAGTCTGAGGTCCAGAGCACTCTGGAAGAGGTTTTCGTCCAGGATATCCCTGTACTTGCCCGCATTCATCTTTCCCTCGATTGCAGCCAGTCGTCCTGTCCCTGCAGCTGAAAAACACCCCCACAGCATGATGCTGCCACCACCATGCTTCACTGTTGAGACTGTGTTGGACAGGTGATGAGCAGTGCCTGGTTTTCTCCACACATACCGCTTAGAATTAAGGCCAAAAAGTTCTATCTTGGTCTCATCAGACCAGAGGATCTTATTTATCACCATCTTGGAGTCCTTCAGGTGTTTAGCAAACTCCATGCGGGCTTTCATGTGTCTTGCACTGAGGAGAGGCTTCCGTCGGGCCGCTCTGCCATAAAGCCCCGACTGGTGGATTGCTGCATTGATGGTTGACTTACTACAACTTTCTCCCATTTCCCGACTGCATCTCTGGAGCTCAGCCACAGTGACCTTTGGGTTCTTCTTTACCTCTCTCACCAAGGCTCTTCTCCCCCGATAGCTCAGTTTGGCCGGATGGCCAGCTCTAGGAAGGGTTCTGGTCGTCCCAAACGTCTTCCATTTGAGGATTATGGAGGCCACTGTGCTCTTAGGAACCTTAAGTGCAGCAGAAATTTTTTTGTAACCTTGGCCAGATCTGTGCCTTGCCACAATTCTGTCTCTGAGCTCTTCAGGCAGTTCCTTTGACCTCATGATTCTCATTTGCTCTGACATGCACTGTGAGCTGTAAGGTCTTATATAGACAGGTGTGTGGCTTTCCTAATCAAGTCCAATCAGTATAATCAAACACAGCTGGACTCAAATGAAGGTGTAGAACCATCTCAAGGATGATCAGAAGAAATAGACAGCACCTGAGTTAAATATGAGTGTCACGGCAAAGGGTCTGAATACTTATGACCATGTGATATTTCAGTTTTTCTTTTTTAATAAATTTGCAAAAATTTCTACATTTCTGTTTTTTTCTGTCAAGATGGGGTGCTGAGTGTACATTACTGAGAAATAAAATGAACTTTTTTGATTTTTGGAAAATGGCTGCAATGAAACAAAGAGTGAAAAATTTAAAGGGGTCTGAATACTTTCCATACCCACTGTATAATATTGTACATTTCTTCATGTAAACAGCAAGAGTCACGTTTAATGTACGCATTGTTTGGTGCAATACAGCTGGTAGTTTAACCTAGGTAATTGTGTGTGCAGAGTTGTTACTGTTAGCACTATATTTTTAATATTAAATTCATATTTAATGTGGTTTTCATATCTGTTTCGCCTTTCTAGCAGCAGGTGACAGTATTTAAATGAATGTCCGGTTTTTGTCTTTGTTAACTGTTTTAAATCCAGGTTACTGATACAGATGTATTTATTGTTCTGCATTTCATTTGTTTTTTATTATTAAGGATTTATTTGTAACCTAGTTACCATCTTCATTCACCCACAGCCCAGCGTTAAACCTGCAGCCCCTTCTGTTCTAACCTGGTTCTGCTGTCAGCTTCTTAGCAGCTCAGGCAACAAACACATGGAATCTATGGGGGAAAAAGCATTATTTTCCATAAATTATTAAATATTAATATAAAATAAACAAATACTCAAATCTAAAATGAAGAGGTGTGTCTGATTTGCCTAATGTAGTACAACAATTGGTTTGGAGTCTGTGAATCACAAGAACTGGAATCTATTTTTAAAAATGCATTATTTTCCAGAAATTATTAATAAATATAATATAACTTTGAATATGCACTCAAATATAATATGAAGAGGTGTGTCTGATTTGCACAGTGTAGCTCTACAGTTTCGGCATTGGTTTGATGTCTTTGGATCACATGACATGGAAGCTATTGAAATAAATGATGATTTCCCCACAACACTGTTTTAACAACAGTAATTTACTGATGTATCCTAAACTGGTGGTGGTTAAAAGCGGTGAGGAGGTGAACTTACCGCACTTATACTGCAGACACTGGGTGAACTGAGTAAGAAGCAGTCACCGGATCCTGGGTGAATGTCTGTCCAATATACAACTTAAAACTAACAAATGCCGTATTTTGTCTTGTTTTAAGAGGCCTAATTACTCAGCGGGCCACCAGGAAAAGTCCCAGTACTTCCGATGGCCAATCTTGACTGTTAATGATGAATGTTATAAACTGTAAAATCGATCTAACTAACTTGTTCCCCGATAAATGTTTCCAGAGAGGGACGGCAGAAAACAGCCTTCATAAAGAAAAACACAAATAGAAGTGAGTGAAACCCTTTTATACCTGTTGTACTTGTTGCACACACCTGAACGCGTCACCCAGTCTGCTGTCCCTTTAAATCTGAAGCTCCTCCTCCCTCTCTGAGCCACGTCATCACAAACAAACAAACATGGCGCCGCGCTGCACCGGCTCCGCGTTTCTGGCCGTCTTTGCGCCGATCGCGGCTCTTTTGGTTGTGTTTTACGCAGCGGGCTCGCCTGTGACCTGGCGGACGGTGTCTCTGGCTGTTGTAACCGTGCTGGCGTCGCTGTGGCTGCGGAGGCTGCGGCGGCGGGACGCCGGGACTGACCGCCGGGTGTGTGTGCTGGTGTTGGGGGACATCGGTCGCAGCCCTCGGATGCAGTATCACGCCTTGTCCCTCAGCAAACACGGATTCAGCGTCACTTTTGTCGGGTTTTTGGGTGAGACTGCCGCACAAACACGCACAGTTTCACACCGTCGTGTCAGGGTGTCCGTCTGCTCCACAAACCAAGACCTGATGCTGCTGTCAGCGGGGTCGAGATAAACTTTATCGATTAGGTGTCTTTACACTGGGGACACACACTTACTGAACTGGCTAATTTTGTCCCCATCGTTTTTTAAAAGCAGGATTTGTTAAAAAATGTTCCGAATAGCTTGCAACAAGAAAGAGAAATGCCTTGACAAATGTTTATTTGCATCTATTATTTAGTACTTTATCGAACATTTGTTATTGAGGAAAGTTATCTCTCTGATATTTTCTCATGTTAGATACCAAACCTCATCAAGACGTGCTGAGAGAGGAGAAAATAATGATCGTCCCCATCACAGAAGTGAGAGGTGTTCGAGGTAACTGGAACCACTGAGTTTTATGCCTTTTTGATTTAAAAATCACAGAAAAGTGATGATGTCATTTACATAAAGTCTTTGTTTATTTTTCAGTGGGACCAAAGATCCTCACTTATGTGACGAAGGTGATCCTTCAGTGTCTGCAGCTTCTCCATGTGCTGCTGAAGACGGAGACTCAGTCTCATATTCTAATGCAGGTATTCAAGATTAAAGGTCTGTATCTACAGGTGGATGGACCCGCCCGTCACTGGCTCCTTTACAGACATGTTGATTAATGTGTGACATAAGAAATTAAATTATCCAAATTTAAAGGGTCACAGCTTTAAGTTTGGATAATGCTGTATTAGTTGTTGTCCCATTTACTATAAATCAACTTAAGTTTAATAATAGTGAATCTACTGTAATGAGTTTTAGGTCCAAACCAAAGTTGAGTCTTTGACACATTCGGTTACTTTTGGTTTAGTTTCTGTGAGCGCACTAAAGGACATCTATGTGGGTTGCGTCTCCCTGTACTCCACATGATTGGTTTGTAAACACGTGTTGTCAACTTGGCGGGTAGCTTCCGCATTACTCTTTGGCCTTGACAAGAATGAATGAACAGATGCATAAATTGTTATTATGGTATTACTTCCAACAGCAACAACTGTACTTGAGGCTAGTTCAAAAGCCCAGACCAAACGAGCTAGGTGTTAAAGGGCCCTTAACCAATCCAGAAACTTCAGGTCTGAGAAGTGAAATGCTCGGCAGCCAGCAGGGGGCGACTCCTCTGGTTGCAAAAACAAGTCTGATTGCATTGGACGCTAATGAGTTCACGGTCCCAGTCGTTCTTCAACACAGCATGATGTTCATTTAGTAAATGTTGGTCTTGGTCCTATTTAGAGGAAAATAGACCATAAAGCAGGGGCGGGGCTAACTTGTGATTTGAAAAGTCTCTACCGTGGCGACTTTTCTCGTCCAAATATAGTCACCGACCGCCAAACTCGAGGCTTCAAAATAGTTTTTATAAAGTGAATAAAACACTTTCTCTGTCCTACCCTCCAGGCTGATGTAAATGATTGTGTTTGTATCCCAGAATCCCCCGGGCTTGCCCAGCATCGCGGTAGCTTGGCTCGTGTGCGTCCTGCGAGGCAGCAGATTCGTCATCGACTGGCACAACTACGGCTACACCGTCATGGCCCTGAGCCACGGCCCGAGGCACCCGGTGGTCCAACTGGCAAAGTGGTCAGTACTTACCTTTTGTAGACAGATTAATAATCGATGAAACACTGACGAGCACCGAAGCCAACTTCATCTGTGTGGCTGTTTTATAAAATATTTCGTTGATATGACAAATCTGATTTTCTTGGGGTAAATGTTGGATCGGAAACTTCTTGAACTTTAAAAGCTGTATAATTTCTGGGTTTATAATTGGGGCAGAAAGGATCACAAAAGACTTTAATTGAAATGTATATTTTTTGGTTCCCGTCTTCTTCCAGGTATGAACACTTCTTCGGGCCGCTGGCCACTCACAACCTTTGTGTTACCAACGCAATGAAGGACGACTTGCAGAAAAACTGGGGCATCAGGTACGATCTGTTTTGCCCTCATCATGTTAGAGAGAACGTCAGGAGTGGAAGTAAAAAAAAAAAAACAAAAAAAAAAAACAATAACACTTTCTGACTGTTTGACGTTTGCAGGGCGACGACTCTGTACGACAGACCAGCCTCCATCTTCAGAGAAACGCCACTGAAGCTGCAGCACCAGCTGTTCATGAGACTGGCCAACACGCATCCTCAGTTCCAGAGCAAAGGGTGAGGAACCCTGCAGAACCTTTTTCACATCGGTTACCAAACCTCAGTTTTGAGCAGAGAAGAATACGTAGACATGTTCTGTCGTTGTGTATCTTCAGCTGTGTTGTTTAAAGCCACAGAACAATTATAAAAACAGGAACATGCGTGCAGAGGTTAGCTGTAACACAACACTGGCTTACCCTGAAGAACACGCACACTTCTTTAACTGAGCGGTTGTGCGTTTCGCAGGTCTGAGGACGTGAACGTGGAGAGGACCGTCTTCTCGGTTTGTGACCTCACTGATGACACAGTGACCTTGAGGGCGGAGCGACCGGCGCTGCTGCTGAGCAGCACCAGCTGGACAGGTGAGGGGAAGAGAAACGGTGACATTATGTTTTCATTCAGATGAAGTGGACACACATTTTCAGTTTGGTATTTGTTTTTCCTTCTATAATATAAGATTATTTTATTTATTTTAACTGTAGATTATAATAAATTATACCACGGCCACTGATACGTGTGTGGATTAACTTTTACTTTACTAATTAACTTTAACCGGAGACATGTGGCGTAGATGTTCGGTAAAGACAACAGAGGTTTATAAAGAGCTTTGAAAAATAGATAAATAGCAACGTACGCAGGAGGAATTTTGTGAATAAGTATTAAAAAATAAATTTAAAAAAACTAAGGCGCAAAGCGAAGTTCACTCCTATTCATTTTCTAGGGGGCACAAATTAATAGATTTACAAGGCATTGTGGGATTTCCAGACAACGAGTCGAGAAATACGAAAAAAAAAAAGGGAGGCGTCAACATGACCTCTATGCAAATGAGGGACATTTGTCTCCTGGCTTCGCAATGATTTGCCGAAAAGTGATGCTGTGGTGGGTCGGAGAGTTTAGTCTTTACTAGAACTGAAAAAATTAATTGATTACATCTACAAAAAATTATATTACAACTATTTTGATCGTCAACGTTACTTTATTGATTTTATTTTTTTTTATTTCTTCAGGATTTGAGGCGTTATAGGTTGATGAGCTGAACATTTTTGGGTTTTGCACTGTGGGTGACCAAAACGAGCTACTGAAATAGATGACCTGTGAAACTTTTAACTGCAATTCTTCTCTATTTTCTATTACATTTTTCTCATTCATTGATAAAAAGTAACTGTTGGTTGCAGCCTTAATCTTCCGCGATTAAAAAAACAAAAGTGCTGCTTTGCACAAAGTCACAGAAATTGTTGGTGAAAATCGTTGGTTGCTTATTTACACGGTTATTGCTAATGAGCGAGCTAATCATTAGAAATCTGCGATGAGCCACGATGATGTCACTTCCAGTCAGTCTTCCAGTACCCTCTGGAAAAATACAATTAATATTTTTGGTTATTTTAATTCTTATCTTAAATCATTTGGACCAGTGTTTGTTGTGCACATTCTCTGACTATAATACAGCCTCCTTGGGTATAATTTGCATGTGATTATTGAGTATTTTAAGTTATGGTTTTTATTTGTAGAAAAACGATCCAACCCAACCCTCAGACACTGAATCAGCTCAGTGTCTCCTTCACATAGTCCAGCACTCATTAACCTTCTTTCTCTCCCCAGAGGATGAAGATTTCTCCATCTTACTGAGGGCTCTTGAAGGTAGGAGAGGGTTTAAACTTACACACAGAGAATAAAACATGATGCCGTGTTCTCACCTCACGCCTGTTTGTTCAAACAGAGTACGAAGGTTTCGTTAAAGGAGGAGCCTCCCTGCCGTCTTTAGTCTGTGTGATCACAGGTAATCCCCTGCTGCCTCACTGTTCTGTCAGAATGTCTGATTTCAAGCAGGTTTTCATTCGATTGTGTGTGTCTGCGCAGGTAAAGGTCCTCAGAAGGAACACTACAGGAAGCTGATCGACTCCCTGCACTTAGACCACGTGACCATCTGCACTCCCTGGTTGGAGGCAGAAGACTATCCCGTCTTACTGGGTAAGACTGATAAACATTACGTACCGAACTCACCGTGTGTGTGTGTGGTTGGGTTCAGCCTCTGTCAGACCTGGAACTCCTTTTTACATAAATGCGATTTACTTTCTAACAGGTTGGTCTCATGATCGAATAAGAGCCCGAGTCTGACATTTGTGTAAAACACAACTCAAGTCTGAACTGAAAGCCGTCAGATTAACGTAAAAGGCTGAATACACAGAGATTAAATGCACGTCTAGTTGACGTTATTAAGCCCCTTGAGGCAAACTGAGATTTGTGATATGGAGTTAAATAAATACACGTATCACTCACCTCTCTTATGCACAAATAAAATAAAACACAACGAATGAGTCAGAAGATTCTTCTCGTCAGATTGTTAAATAGAAATGTTTATTCCCTCGGTGGAAGGTCGTAGAATCACAATCAACATCAGATCAACAGTCTCCTATATTTCAATTTTCAATTATGAATATGCTGCAAAACGCTTCAGATACAGCAAACTGGAATTAAATGGTCTCATTCAATGAGAAAGTGCACAATCGAACATTATGAAACAGGCAGTGAGTCTCTACAAAAAATAATGACACTGATTGTGGCGATGGCGCAGGGGTAAGACGCATGCCTTTTGGTGTGAGAGACCGGGTTCAATCCACCATTGTGTCCCTGAGCAAGACACTTAACCCTCGTTGCTCCAGAGGCGTGCGACCTCTGACATGTATAGCAATTGTAAGTTGCTTTGGATAAAAGCGTCAGCTACATGAATAAATGTAAATGATTCTAGAGCTGAAGCAATCAGTTGAGTAATTGATTAGTCAATCGACAGAAAATGAAAAATACTTGACAATTAATTAATTGTTGTTTTTTTTTCATTCTCTGGTTCAAGCTTTTGGACAATAAAAGAACTCTGGATATGTCACTTTTAGCGAATTTTAAACTTTTTTTTTTTCTGTAAGTTGCAGCCACAGAGATCAGCAAAACAGGTTTTAAAATCCATCAGCGGTCTGTGAGAGAACAGAAAAGACTCGCTGCAGACCTCCTGATTTGACAATTAAAAATATTAAAGTTAGAGAAAACACTTTGTGGAGTTATCTTCATCTGCATAACCAACTGTTGTTACTGTAGGAACTTGCCTTGAGGATCTCGAGAGGCAGGACGGACAGAAAAGCATACGAGTAAAACATTAAAATACCATAAATAGAAAAAATAAGTGCTTAAAGTTTTGATAACCTAAATGTACTGAATTATGCAAAATAAAACGCATAATTATTAAAATGTATTTTAAAGCTGGTGGGGGGGGGCGGAGGGAGCTACAAGTTGTTTACATGTACTGATTTAAAAATAGGTTTTATTTTCACCTCAAAGTGTCATTAAAAAGAGGACTCAGCCCGCCGTACACCTCGGTGTGTGTTTCAGGCTCAGCGGACCTTGGCGTTGTCTCACAAGTCGTCCAGCGGTCTGGACCTGCCCATGAAGGTGGTGGACATGTTCGGCTGCTGCTGCCGTCTGCGCCATCCACTTCAACTGGTGAGCTGAACACCATCTGTTTGATTAAGATTGTACATTCGTCAAAGGAACTCAGAATGGCTGTTAAATTACTCCCACTTGAGACTCAGACTCTCTTAACGCGACCGCCTTTTTCCCCCAGCTTGAGCGAGCTGGTGAAGCACGAGGAGAACGGGCTGATCTTCAGAGACTCGCAGGAGCTCGCCGAGCAGCTCAAGGTGAGAGGAAAACCTGTGCATGTATCCAAAGTGCAGATGCATGAGCACGTGCGTCTGCGCATGAAAACGCTGCCGATGGCTCAAGTTGAGGGACGATATAATGCATTTATATTTTAACTCTGAACACCAAGAACAAAGATTCAGCGCCTCAGACTGCACAGAATTTAACTCAACGCAGTTAAAATCCTGGGCCCGTATTCATAAAGATTCTAAGCATCCTCTCAGAAAACTTAATTTGGCTTAAACTCTTTACGTAAGAGTCTTAGCTTAAGAGCGAAGGGACTGATCTGAGGGCAACTCTGAGCAAGGAAAAGACAAAAACTTTCATCTTAGTCAGGAGGCGAGTTTGACCCCGTTGCTTTGTATGACACAATCTTTTGAAGACTGTGATTGGTTGTCCAAGAAGGTTGTCCTTCACTTTGGAAATTACATGCGTAATATTTCCCTATTTGACCGTTCACACACACACACACATTATAAGGTGATATAAATCCGTTTTTACCATGCTGTTAATTTCCTACAAGGTATTTGATTGGCCTTAAAACCTCTTTAAAGGGTTAAGATGCTTTCTGAATTACTTTTTTCTTTAATTTTATGGGTAAACACCCACATTTCTTAGAATTTTTTCACTAGGAGCTACTCTATGCATTAAGATTTTTATGAATACGGTCCCAGGAGTCAGCTAAAACAAGACGTTCAGCGGGCCTCGCTTTGGCTCGTTTTTTTTAGGTTTCAGTTCGCTCCTGCTGTAAAATGCTCTACTCCTAATTTAAGCCTTAAAATTTTCAGAGATCTCGAGCAGGTTCAATTTCAAAACATTTTGCGCCGTTTTCCTTGAAACCGTTTGCAAGGGTGCTCAACAGGCTTTGAGGTATGTTTCTCTCGTTTGGTGGGTGCGTCAGAGCCGTTGCCCAATTATCAGCCGTATAAAAAAGGCAGTAACTGTCAAGGCCCAACCCTTTCCGCTCCATAAATAAATGTTGTGCTACGTGTTGCCGAGTCAGGGTCTACACACATGTTCCTCCACTGTTTAAGCTTCTTTTAAATGACTGATGTTGGTTTGTGTTTTCAGTCTCTCCTGTCAGGGTTTCCCAGCTC